GGGTTGGAGGCCATTGCTGGTAGGTTGGAGGCCATTGCTATTGGGTTACTGACAAGAGTTGCCATCTGTCAAAAGTGAGCTTTTCTGGGGTCTGAGATGATATATGTCAGACAGCAAATCTCTTGCATTCGGGCTCGTGGCTTCAATCAGGCTTTTGGCTTTAGATTTCAGGCCCTTCGGAATTCTGGAACCCTTAAAGCCCTAACTTATAACCAAGCTATTGGCCAAGACCTCAACTTGCCCATGAGTCGAGCTGTTCAAGGAAAATCGCCGAAGCGCCAAAAACCCAAGCCTTTTCATGCCTTTTCCTTCTACCCGAGCAAGTCAACTTTTGAGTCCTGCAGCATCTTGTACACTTTCGCCAAGCTTGCCTGCTTGTTCACAGGAATCACAACAAATTCACTGAACCCAAGTAATCTATGTAGTAATCTCGTTTGAGGCTGAACCTTCTGCATGTGTTTTTTGCTTTGGATTGTTGGCGACGATATGGAAAGGGAAGTGCAGCAATGTTCCTCCCGACCTTGTTCTGCGTCTCCAAGAGTTCTGCCAACCTCAAGTGACAAACTCGGGCCAGGACCTCTACTTTTGTGCCGAGCGCTTACTTAATTAAGTCGCGGCCTACTTACTGCAGGAGATCTAAGGTTGGCTTGAGTATGCGCAAGTTAAACTTGTATGCTACTACTTACTGGACGCAGGATAGCTCATGCTCGCACTATTCATTTGGTTAGATATGTGAGCTTGGGCGACCAGTCGCACTAAGTCTAAGACTTTGCGCCAGAGCGTGTTGGGCTCTGCCGGTGTGCTTTTCTTCATTTGTGTTTGAGTTGGTTGGAGGCCATTGCTATTGGGTTGGAGGCCCTTTGCTCCTAGTAGCTTCTTGCTCCTAGTAGCGATGCCCTTTGCTCCTAGTAGCTACTTGCTCTGAGTAGTACGGCCAGGAGCCCCTAGTAGCGTCCTTGCTCCTAGTAGCCATCGCTAGTAGCTGAGCTTCTCTTGGTCCCCAACCACTTGAGCTTCTCTTGTGCTTCCTGCCTGGCTGCCTGCCAGCTTCACACTTGGTACCAAAAGAGTTCAGCCTCCATGTTTGCGAAACGGGTTTCATAACAACCAATGAGAAGGTAAGGTCCCTTGTTATGGAACTTGCAGGTGTTCCAGTTTCAAACCAGGCGTTCAACCTTTTAGTTGTCCCATGCCGATGCACCGATGCAAACCTGACAGCATACCAGATAGGATGCATACCCTGACAGGGCCTGACCTGTCCCTTTGATGGACAAGACAAGGCCCGCAAAAACAGGGCGCAAAGAACAAGTCCGCACTAGGCCAGCTTCTTACTGCTGCACTAGGTTCCAACTGATCACTCCACAAACTCCTGTCTCCTCTACCTGTCGCAAATCGCACGCAAATGCACTCTTTTCTCTCATCGGCCCCAGCCAATCCAAGTGCGGTTCGGGTAGGGTTTGTTGGTGATCCAAATGTTCAGCGCATATTTCACGACCCCGTCCTCCGAAGCTAGGAGACGAAGCGACTCCAAAATCTAGCTAGGAACTAAATCATTAGTGCAAGCGCTTCTTCAAGGAAGCCTCCGTCTTTGGGGGGAGCTTCCTTCAAGAAGCGTGCGCTATCCTGCCTTCAGTATGTCGTAGCTGCGTAATTAGCTTATATAAGTATATACCTACGAGCTTACTCCCTTGCTTAATTAAGCAGGCACCTACTTAATTAAGGAGGCAGCGCCACGGGCACAAAAAGAGCACGAATCTGACCGGCCTTTGCCCCCCAGTTTTCAGAAAACTGAATAACCCGAACTTGTAAGTAAGTAAGCTTGCAGTATCTAAGTAAGCAGCGAAGAGAAGCTATAAGCTGGAAACTGTAGTAGTAGTAGTAGTAGTCGTCGTCGTCGTCGTCGTCGTCGTAGTAGTAGTAGTCCTAGTAGTAGTCGTAGTAGCAGTAGTAGTAGTAGTAGAGTAGTAGTAGTAG